CGTACCTGTGGGATCCTTTGGTCTCTCCCTTGCCAGATCCGGGGCATATGAATGCAGGCCCACAAGAAATCCAAGGAAGCCGTTGGGTCAAAACTGTTTGGAGAGATCAAAGTGAGGATGCAGCACCCAAAAGGGCTGTTCATTGAACAACGGTCTCTTTTGCCCAAGTCCCACTTCCCAGACCCAACTGTGCACTGCACCGCCTTTTGCTTGGGAGGCTGTTTTCTAAAACAGAATATGAGCCAGCTGGGTGCTGCAGCTGCCAAAAAGCCCAACGCCATCCTAAGCTGCATTAATACAGGGATAGAATCAAGATCATGGGAAGTGATTCTACTGCTTTATAACGCCTTGGTATGACCACACTTGGAATACAGCATCCAGTTTTGGTCTCCACAACATAAGAAAAGATGTTGAGACTCTGGGAAAAGCGCAGAGAAAAGCGACAAAGACAATTAGCGGGCTGGAGGCTAAAACATATAAAGAACTGTTGCAGGAACTGGGTATGTCTAGTTTAATGAAAAGATGGACTGGGGTGATAAGACAGCAGACTTTCAATATTTGAGGGGCTGCCCCAAAGAAGAAGGGATCAACCTCTTCCTCAAAGCACTTGAAGGCAACACAAGAAGCAACGGATGGAAACTAATCAAGGAGAGAAGCAACCTAGAACTAAGGAGAAATTTACTGAAAGTGAGAACAATGAACCAGTGGAACTGCTTCCTTTCAGAAGTTGTGGGTGCTTCAACACTGGAGGTTTTCAGGAAGAGGCTGGACAGCCATTTGGGTGAAATGTATAGAGTTACCTACTTGGGGTTGCACTAGAAGACTTCCTAGACCCCTTCCAACTCTGTTATTGTTTAAGAAAACCACGGAAGGGGAGCTGGGATGGGGGAAACCCAATCCCTCCCATGAAATCCACATCCGCCTGTTTGCTCTCTCACTCACCCTCTTGTTAACCTGTCTTTCCAAAAGACCAGCCGTAGCTAAGTTGCAGAAAACAATCAAAGATCTGCTGGCACCTTCAGGGTCAAGGCAATGATTGTGGCCTAAAGTCATGCCTGCCACAGGATTGTAAATCACCAAAGCTGAGGCAGCAACACACAGCAAAGTTTTCTCACAACTTTGGGAAATCAAAGGCCAACTTGGACGATGAAATGGAAGAATGAGGAATGAAGTTCAGAAACCATCCACTTTCCAACCTGCAACAAGGCCCTTCTTGACGGTTCCACCATAGAGCGAATGCCAACTTCTTCTACGAAGTAGAACTTTCTACCAGCTTGCTGGATCAGACTGTGGATTATTGGCCAGGTCCTCTACACATGGGTGATGCTGGCAGCCTTACCTGCACTCTTGGCTTCTGCAGAGCAGAGTCCTGATGCAACAGTGAAGCGTGGTCCAGCTGGACTGGTGGGTCAGGAGTGCCAGAAGGTATGGACGGAAGGAGAGGAGGGGCTCGGATTCAGAGGAGTCTTTACCCTGCGGAGGGAAAAGGAAAGGCTAGAAAAGGGGCACCAACAGGCCAGCAGCAGTGTCAGTCAGGCAAAGCAAAGATTCAATCTCTAGAACTGATCCCAATTCAACACCCAAAATGGTTCCTGCACCTTCAGTTCTGAGTACATGCGTGGAACCAAGTTTCTTTGTATGTTTTCTGAAAAGAATCTGCATCGGGCTACCCAGTTCTTCCTTCTGTCAACTCATCAAACATTTCTAGGCCTGTTTTAGTAGTTGCCATAAAAAGGGGGGGAGGAAGGAACTCTTGGAAGAGCAGCTGAAAGCGAAAGTATATTCCAACTCTTCTCTTTAAAAGATTGTAACTAAAATACCAGAGCTTTTGCCTGCAAATATATTTTAATTGGAGAACGTGAAAGATGACACCCAGCCTATGAACGTGCTCAATTGGAGAATCTGGTTTGTGAGAAACCCAGCGGGGACTGTAAATGACGTAGGCCAGAGTTGGCTTCATATAGGGCAATGCCAGTATGTCGCCTCTAACGAATCCTTGGAAGTTTTTTGAAGTTTGGCTCGAGAATCATGATTTAATTAGAGCGATTGCTGGAATCCTGACACCTTCCTCAACTTGCTTCAGATCCAAAATACATTCGCTTGTGAGAATGTTAAGGATTCTAAACTGATGACTTGCTTGACTCCGCCCCTCGGGATCTGCCTCTTCTCCACCTACACTGGTCTCCCTACAGATTTCTGCAGCATCTGCTCCCAGAGATGGTTGTCTGGACCAGGCAGATTCTGCTTGCACATCCTCAAAATTGCAAGAAGCCCACACCGTGTAGGGCTTCCCAGCACTTGAGGGACGGCCATTTCTCAACGTTGACCGATGTTCCAGACCAATCCTCACCTTATCCCGGGAGAACAGCAGTTTCTGCTGGAGGTCAGGGCAGCTGCTGACAACTTCTGGATCCAGCAACTCCAACCAGTCGATGAAGAGACCAGAGGCGCTTTCGACACTGAAGGGGGAAAACAGCAGCGGGTGGAACAATGGAACAAAGTCCCCGGAGGAGACAGGAAGGAACTGAAGACCAAGAACCCAACCAGAAGAGTCAACCCAACCTGGAGTTCTCGGCTTCTTTCTTAATGCAGCTTTCCTGTCTGCACTGGAGCAGTAGGGAGGTCACCACCGAGATGGGCCCAGAAGCAGGGAAATGGGGCGTCCTCTCTGTGGCCACGGAGAAGAGGGTCACCAGCAGCTCCTCCAGATATGGCGAGCGTGTTTTGGTCAGGCCTTCGAGGACTGGAAGGGGAGTAACAAAAGTGTTCTGAGACTCAAGAGGAGAAGGACAGGCAGGGCAGGAGAAATGGGAAGAGAGGGGCAACCCTACCTTTGCTGACAAGCTCTGGTTCCACATTCCACCTTTTGCTGGACTTCAAGGTGGTCACGATGGCGCGGACGGTGGAGCCGATGACTTCAGAGTTGTGGCAGAAGGCCAGCGCGTCCGCCAGGTGCAAGAACCCCGCCTGGGCTGTAGTTACAGAAAGGAAAGGGCTGTGAAGTGGCACGGAAGGAAGATGGGCTCTGCTTGGGAAGGGCCCCTGGTTCCATGCCTGCTAAAAAGGCTCAGAGTTGTTAAATTTGTGTGGACTTCCAACTCCCGGCTGGCTGGGGAATTCTGGGAGTTGGAAGTCCACAGATCTTGATTTGGCCAAGGTTGAGAGAAACACTGTTCTAGAGGCCACGAATAAAATGCAGAGAGTCTGAACCAAGACTGTTGAGATGTGGCTCAAACAAGGATGTTTGTTCCCCTCTTGGCCAACTGGGTCTCTTTCAGATTCTGGTCTCCCACCTTATTCCTGTTTCAGGATGGTGCGTGAACCCCACCCCTTAGAGAGCCAGATTGAAGGGCTGCATTCACAAAACACCCAAAACTTCATTCGGATTTGGGTGGGTTCCCCTTTGTGTGAAGCAGCCCGCTGGGTCAGGTCAATGTACCGCCTGAAGACAGAAAAGTAGTTAATGTAGTCCCTGGGGCTCTGGAGAGTGACCACAGGGAAGATTCAAGAGTTGCCAACCAAAGATATTTAAATTGAAAGTTATCTGCTGCTCCCCGCCAAAAAATCCTTTCCATGTACTTCCTACCGTCGCTGATCCTATGTTGGGATGAAAACTGAACCGCGAAGGACTTGAGCTGCGTCCGGAGAAGACTATCTTCCACCCCTGGGCTCTCCAGCCACTGTAACATCTGCATGAGGACTTTGAAAAACAGCGAGGAGAAGGCCTCGTCTTGGGGAGCGTGGCGCTGGGAGGAGGGAGAGGAGGAAGAGGAGTTATACAGGTAGAACTGCTGAGCTCCAAAAGGGCCCTTCAAAAGGCCTGGGAGGAAAGTCCTACTCCTTGCTAAGCCTTCCCCGGGCGAAGATCCCAAGAGCTGAAGTCCTCCACTACCAGGAGAGAATCGCCTTTACGGCCCAAGGGGCTTTGAAACAGGACGTTTGGCCACAGGAGCAGCACAGGGTCGCGTGGCAGTGAGAGGGATGGCATGTACATTTAAAAAAATAAAACAAAATCATAGAATAAAATACAATAAATACAATCAAATCATAAAATACAATACAATCAAATCAAAAATCAAATCATCAGATCAAATCATCAGATCAAATCAAAAATCAAATAATAACATCCAATAAGATAAATCAAAGCAAATCAAATCAGATTTGAATAATCAAAAAATCAAATCATTAAATCAAATAAAAAAAACCAAATCAAATAATAACATCCAATTATAAAATAAATCAAAGGAAAGCAAATCAGATTAAAATAATCAGATCAAACCACTGCATGCCATTTCATTATGGCCCTTCCTGGCTGTGCCTGCCCCTCCCTCTCCCGCCCCCTCGGCCTCCCCCCCCCCCAGCCTTATTCCAGACAAGGCTCACACAGACCCTCTTCTTATATTCCGGATTATTCAAACTTTCCTACTCCTCATTCCTTTGGCAAGGGGTGTGTGTGTGTGTGGGGGGGGAGAATCTCATTTGCCCCTTCCGATCCGTCAATCTTAGACCAGGAGCCCCTCCCAATACGAGCCCCTTTTCCCCCCCTTAAGGAGGAGGGTCTGCCTGGCCCCTTAGGGCCTCAACCGCAGGGCCACGAGACCAAATGAGACCTCCCGAGAGCCTTGCTCCTGCCCCAAAGGGCATCAAAAGTGACCCTGGGACGCGGCCACCGTCATAAATACAAGTCGGGTGGCCGAGCGTCTGAATTTGGATCGCGCAACCCTGGGGATGCTGCGACGGTCATAAGTGAAAAACGGTCACAAGTCCTTTTTTTTTCCCAGTGCCATCATCGGAAGTTCCAGCGGTTGAGAAGCCGAGGATATTTTGATGGACGGAAAACTCTTTCATCTCGGGGTCTTCTCCCCCCACTCCCCCCCCCAGCCCCGCCCAGGGTCTGAGTTATTCCGGCCCCTGGCCGAGAGGGAGCCTCACCTGGTGCTGCCACAGCAGGCGCAGGAGTGGGCAGGCCACGACGTGGCTGTGGTGCATGGCCATCACCAGGGCTCCTCCGTGGGGCGAGTTCAAGAGGGCCGCCAGGGCCTTTAGAAGCCGCGCCGCCGCCGTCTTGGCCGAGGGCGAGGCGCCTCCTCCTGGGCGCAGGGGAGCCAGCTCCTGGCCGAGGCTCTGCTGCAAAGCCAGGGCGAGGGGCCGCGGGTTCGAGTTCTGCCAGCGGGGGTCCGGAGCCAGTGGGAACAACTGAACAGGCCGGAGGAAAGAGAGACGGTTGGTAAAGGGAGGAAGCTGTTTCGCTCACTGCTGAACTAGGGGTGCCTGTTCCTTCAAAGATTCCCATCCCTCCAGAGGATAGTCTCTTTCAGGCTGTCCTCGACTTATGACCGTTAACGGAACCTGCCTTTTACGGTCAGAAGTGGCGACGGCTGTAAAGCAGGTGGCTCATGTGACTGGCCTGATTTTTTTTTTTTTTTTTGCAGTAACTATTAAGCAAATCACCCCAAGTTCATTAAGTGAATCCAGGGCCCATTAAGAGAAAAGGCCTGTGATGACATCAAAGGGGCGTGGCACAAAAGCAACAAAGTCCCAAAAGTAGGTCAAGTCCCTTTAATTCCTCCAACTTGGCCCCCAATGTCCAGTTATCATCGGCTGGAGAAAAAACTCTCCCCAGAACCGTTTTTAAAGGGAAGAAATTCCATCCAAACCCAAAGTACGTATAGATTATAAATAAAAACCAACGCAAACCACAACTGCAGCAATTAACGGGACAGGGCAGGATAAGGAATGGCCCACTTCAAAAGATAACGAAACACACACACTTGGGAGGACGACAGAGCCCAGATAAGACTTGACAAACCACGATAATGCACACTTTACTTCCAGCAAGGTGCTGTGCACAAATGCTCTTTTTAAATCCTGTTTTCCCAGCTAATGAAAGGGGATCAGGGCCCTTTCCTCCCCCGTAAAAAAAAAAAAAAACTTCCAAGGATTCATTAGAGGCAACATACTGGCACTGCCCTGTATGAAGCCAACTCTGGCCTACGTCATTTACAGTCCCCTGGGACCCTGTTCCTCCCACCCCTGGGTGTCTCCTAAACCAGATTCTCCAACTGAGCACCTCCGCGGTGTCATCAATCACATTCTCCAATTAAATATATTCTCAGGCAAAAGCTCTGGTAGTTTAGTTACAATCTTTTAAAGATAAAGAGTTGGAATGTATTTTCAATTTCAAACTGCTGCACTGCTCTTCCAGATTTCCTTCCCCCCCCCTTTTTTTTAATGGCAACTACTAAAACAAGCCTAGGAATGTTTGATGAGTTGACCTGTCCGTTACCTGGAGAAGGATGCCCGCCAGGTCAGCTTCGGGATCGACGATCGGGAACTGGGCTAAGGCTCGGCTCCTTCCTTGCCCTTGGGGGACCTCAAGGCTGGATTTGATGCGTGGGGCATCATCACCCTCTGAACAGCGAGGCAGATGAAACCTTGTCAGTGGGATGTTTTCAAGGCCCTGGGGATCCAGAGCCCCTCTCCTCTCTCTCTGTATCTGTCTCTCTCTCTCTGTATCTGTCTCTCTCTTTCTCTCCCTCTCTCTCTTTCTCTGTATCTCTCGTTCTCTGTATCTCTCCTTCTCTTTCTCCCCCTCTCCCTCTCTCTGTATCTGTGTCTCTCTTTCTCTTTCTCTCCCTCTCTCTCCCTCTGTGTCTCTCTTTCTTTCTCTCTTTCTCTCCCTCTCCCTCTATCTGTCTCTCTTTCTCTCCCTCTCCCTCTCTCTGTATCTGTCTCTCTCTTTCTCTCCCTCTCTTTCTCTCCCTCTCCCTCTCTCTCTCTCACACACACACACAGTTTCCCCCAGAGAAATGTTTATGCAGATTCTCAACCATCCAGCTCATGGTTGTCCCAAAGGTCCTTTTTCAAGAGGCAACTGGACTTTTCTTTTTCTTTGAAGATGTTTCCCTTCACACCCAAGGAGCTTCTTCAGTTCATGAATGGTCCCAACCCTGTTTAGCTTTCCATAAAGATTTTAAAATGTCTATGATCCCGAGTTTGGGGCATTGCATGAACGTGCCACAAAAGTACTTCCTAACGGCAAGCCCCCTCACCATTCCCCCCCCCCACCATTTCGCATGTTTTAATATAGGCCTTAATTTTGGGGGGGAGGGGCTTAATTTCATTTCAAGCCTATAAAACATGCTGGGACTTCCTATTGGGGGAGGCTGTATTGTTGGAGAAACAGGGTATTATTCTATGTTCTAATGATGACATAACACATAAACGACTCTCAAAAGCCAAATACCGAACCTTGGTGAGACGGAAGGGAGGCGGTGAGGAGGGAGTGGAAGGTCTGCCCGCCGGTGGCTCCTCTTTCATGCTGCACCTCCACGAGATGGGCCATGTAGTCTGTAAGGGAGGAGGGAAGAAATCTCCATCGGAGGCGTGTCCTAGAAGCAGGGGTCTTCAAACTTGACAGCTTTAAGACTTGTGGACTTCAACTCCCAGAATTCCTCCTTCAGTCATGTTAGCTCAGGAATTCTGGGAGTTGAAGTCCACACGTCTTAAACCAGCCAATTTGGAAGACCCTTGTCCTAGAGCTTGGGGCAGAATCCCAGAAGAATGGCCGGGAAGAGTCTCGCAGGGCGGGCGAGGGGAGGGAAGGGAAAACCCAACCCGGGGTTACTCTTACTCTTGTCCATGATGTTCTGTTCCAGTGTCTGAGGGTCGTGAGAGACAGCTTGGTCCAGATACTGCAGAAGTTTGCTCATGCTGGAAACCGGGATGCCAAAGGACTGGACGAAGAGTAGCAGTTGTTGGGGTTCGAGGTCTTGCAATGCTGGAATAAACAAAAACACCCCCCCAAATTCAACACCCCCTCCAAAGCAAAACAAGGAGATTTTCTTTCCATATCCGTATTTACAAAACCATCCTGCAGCTGTTTCTTCAACTGTCATGCCAGAAAGACAGTTTAGATCAGGGGTGTCCAACCTTGGCAACTTTAAGACTTGTGGACTTCAACTCCCAGAATTCCTCAGCCAACTTTAAGACTTGTGGACTTCAACTCCCAGAATTCCTCAGCCAGCAAAGCTGGCTGAGGAATTCTGGGAGTTGA